TGAGCAAACTAGTAATATGAGAACTTTAATATTTAAAGATGTAAATTAATAATTTAAGTATTTTTGGGGGATGTAAAGTGCCATTTATCAAACACTTTGAGGCACATTTTTCCATGACACGTTATTGAGACATCTATATGCGTGGAGATAAAAAGGAGAAAATGTAGTGTGCTCACCACCATGTGATGTATACCATCTATAAAATATTGCTTATTTTTAATTGATTGTTTAGTCAATTTTGTAATTATGAAAAACTAATCACCAAATTCCATCCCAACCCCTCTAATTTTGATTTTATGAACTACTTATTAGTGCGGGGAACTAATATTTTGGTATAAACTTGACGTAGACCTCCTGACATTTTGTTTTGGTATAAAGATATTCTTATATTTGAAAATAACACTAAGATCCTTTGTCAATGATGATATAGTATCACATTTACATTAAATATTTGCTTGTGTTGTAGGGGTGAGGGGATGGTCCTATTGGGTGGTGGTGGATGGGCGATGTAGCTGGAGTGAGAAGGGAAAATAGGAAAATTGAGAGAGAGAGAGAGAGTCTAGGTTGGGGCCTGGGGTTGGATAAAGATTCAGGTTTAGATTTGATCAATATTTCTCAATTTTTAAAATTTCAAATGTGTCGTTATATGTACAATAATAATGAGAAATCATTACATGGATAACTAGAAGAATTTTTTATTGAATGAAGTCATGGTCAAACTTATAAAATTTTAGAAAATGGGGAGGAAAGAGTAATAACCAAGAGACATATAGTGCACTTCGTAATCTCCCAAATGCGCAATGCAACAAATCTTATCATGAGTAAGGGAAACACCAAGATTAAGGTAAATACAACTTCAAGATGTTTTTCTAGCAAACAAAATGAGGTACTGATTTGGGTATCCAATATCTGTTTAACGTCTCTTCTCACGGACCATGGTCCATACGTACAATTGGAAAATAAAACCTTGTAAGATTTGGTTGGTGTTAGCAGGAACAAAGCTAGGATTTGATGCTTAGAGAGGCTAAACAATGATGTAACTAGAAAATCTAACTATATAGGACCGTTAAACTAGTTATCATTAATGCCAACGTTGTTAGTGATCTAGAATTCCTAAAAATCATTTTTCACACAATACAATACACTGGTATATTTTCAATAAAATTGAAATGTTAATTCAAACTTCTCTCACTATTAAACATTAAACAATCAATAATTCTAGCTCAATTTCATTGAATAATCACTCGAGCAAATTTAAAATTTATTAATGTTGAAATGTGAAGAACTAAACACTACTAGAGGAAGGGGGAGGAAGGGAAGAAGAGGGGGGGGGGGGGGGGGG